TGTTTTTTAAATTTTTCATTATTTAACATGATAAACCAGGTATATATGATAGTAATAAACATTCTTTCTTACTTTTTCAGCAAATGGTTTTTAACTTAATATTTTTATCCCTGTTTTTTAGTTTTATGACAGCTCTTAAAATCTCTTTCCACTGCTATGTACTTAATTAACAATAACTCATTATTGATATTATCCTGTTTACAACATAATTTTAATATCCTGTCCACATAATAGTAAAAAACACAGGTTTTTGAGATGTAGTGTGACAAGATTGTTGATGCAGTGGAATTATTACAGAGACAAGTTTATAATGAATGGTAGTTTCCAATTTATCCTTATTTTTACTCACTAAAACATCCAAAAAAGGTAAACAACCATTAATCTCAACTTCATAATTAAATCTTATAGAATTATCAATGTTATTAAGGTAATTAACAAAATTAGCTAGTTTATCTGTACCATACCGCCAAATCACAAATGTGTCATCTGCATAACTTAACTAAAATTCAGGTTTTTTATCTGCTTTTTCTGGTGCTTCACTTTGAAAACTGTCCATAAATAAGTCACACAATAATGAAGATAAAGGAGAACTCATAGCTAAACCCTCGTTCTGTTTATAAACTTTATTATTAACTTGGAAAAACGAGTTTTCAACATATATTTCTACCAGGTTAATTATATCCATTATTTCTAAGACTGAATTATTATTTTCTTTCAGTTTTTCTTCAAAACATTCAATAGCTTTTTCAACAGGTACTTTGGTGAACATTGACACAACATCAAATGACACCGAAATATCATTTTGATCTAAAATTATATGCTTAATTCTTTTCACAAATTCAAACGTATTCTTAACTGTGTATTTATTTTTATCCCTTAAAAATTAGAATTTTTTAGACATAAATTTTGCTACATTATAAGTTGAACTCTTAATATTAGATACAATAGGCCTGAAATTATTACCAATCTTATGAACTTTAGGCAAGGCATATAATCTAGGTAAAATAAAGTTACTGGGAATTAAACTTTGCTTTTCATAAAGTGTTAGAGTTCTACAACTCTTAATTTTTACTTTAACTATTGTATAAAGTTTATTTATAGGATTAAGTTTAATGTTCTCATATGGACCTTCTTTCAAAATTTCTTCAACTTTAGAATCGTAATCATATTTATCAAGAATAACAGTTTGTCCCCCTTTATCAGTCTTGCAAATGACAACATCTTTTTCCTTTAAATTTTTCAATATTTCAAAGTCCTATTTATTATTCTTTTTGAACTTAAAATTATTTAATAAAGTGCAACATTCACTTCTAATAATATGCGCTTTTTCATCATTTAATTTTTTCAAGTTAGCCTCAATTTCAGTTATGATATCTTTTTTAAAACCTTTTTTTGGACCAAATGAAAAGTTTAAACCTCTGTTTAAAACATCAAACTGTTTATCAGTTAGTATTAAATCAGATTTATTTATGACTTTAGGGTTATTTAAATTATTGTACTTATCTGGCAATGAATCTAGTTTATAATGTTCTTCAATAACTTCTTTTTTCTGAATTAATAAAGTTTTTAACTTTTTGTCCAACGCAGTTTTACAAGTAGCAATATTTTTTTTTGTGTATTTATCCATGACTTCCTTTCCCATTCCGTCCAGTCTTCATTCATTTCCTTAGATAGAGCTAAATGCAATAAATACACTATTTTTCTTTCTCGGCTATGAAACTTCTTTTTTGTCGAATTACAATATTCAGTATCTTCGCTTTAGTCTTCTTAAGTTGATACTCCACTTTCTTGTTCTTAATATTGCAATCCAATTTTATGAATTTTGGTGTTATCTTATTTCGTTTACACCTCACTAAAAATGCTAGCTGTTGAAGGCATTAATACATGTTTTGATCATGTGATTAGTCATACTTACAGTGTGTAATTCACATTTAATGAGCATATATATTTGGGTTATCTTCACATGGAATCGAACTCAGAATTTTAATCTTGTATATCCGTAAATTTACCCTTGACCCACCAGGGACTGCTTTCTAATCAGAGATTAAACATCATGAATTGTGTAAAACTGTTCACATGTTCCAAACATTAATATAGTTAAGCCATATATTATAGATATCGTGAATAATATACTAGAACTCTCATACAACTATTTTTTTACAGTTGGTTCAAATTGAGAAAAATGGTCTACTAATTTTAAAGTATCATTTATCAGTCTGTCATTAACAGAGGTCAAGCCTGTTACAACTATGTCGAGGAGCAGCACATTAAACACGTTGTTCAAGTCAACGTCTGGATTTCAAGTACCAAACAGGTTTGTTGATACATCTTGTAGTGCCACATAGAACATCAGTTTATATTCATTCTGAAAGTTATCACCTCACATTCATTGATCCTTGAGAAAAATAGTCTACTAATTTTAAAGTATCATTTATCAGTTTGTCATTAACAGAGGTCAAGCCTGTTACAACTATGTCGAGGAGCAGCACATTAAACTCGTTGTTCAAGTCAACGGCTGGATTTCAAGTACCAAACAGGTTTGTTGATACATCTTGTAGTGCCACATAGAACATCGGTTTATATTTATTCTGAAAGTTATCACCTCACATTCATTGATCCTTGCCTAAAAATGTGCATCAAAACTTAGGGTTTTCTGGTACTTACCAATTCGTTTCAGTTAAAAGCTGCGCTGTTAAAATATTACCTCTTATTTGAAAATAAATAACCAACGTGTAACAGATCATTAGTCGTGCATTTTAATTTTGAAACATTAAAAGAAATGTTCAAATTTTTTTCGAGAAAGAGTAATATGTGGTCAACATTTCAGCTTAGTCCCTTTGGAGGAAACAAAAATACTCTCTTCTTATTGCATAGTTTTTGTTTTATGGTGGTCCCCCCTCTTTTTTGGTATTTTCTGATTAATTGTATTCATCTGATTTATTCGAAAATTTATTTAGCAACCAGCCTTACCTTGCCATAATACGTATTACCAGCTGTTGTAATAAGCGTCAAAGTTCCATTCACTCTCGGCAGAAGGTCGCATTCCAAAGTTACCGCCCTGTAATTGAACCCTCCGCATTCGCTCATCTTGGAACAACATTGGTGCGTCAAGTCTTTGCTGTTCGGCTCGTTTCTCAAACATAAAACGTTCGAAGGAATTTAGCGTTTCTAAAACCCCATATAAACACAACAATAGACAAAGTGCCGTTTTCATGGTTTTTACGCCAAAATTTTAATCAAGATGGAATTACTTAATACGGAATTTGTGTGGTTTTATCATTCGTGGCGAAGTTCATTTGGACCTTATATCGTATGAACCTCATTACGTGTCTCATTTTCCAACTAATCACAGCCTTTCATAAACCAAACCACTTGCATGCACTTTGTCTTAAAATAAATTATTCATTGTACAGAATTAAGATATAAAATAGTTCTTAAATTACCAAAAAAGTTTGGATCTAAATGATTTAAGAAACAATCACAAAGACTTAAGAGTAATGCTATTCACTACAATATTATTGATGTTTATTATTTCAAG